AGCAGGGCTGGACTCCCCATGCCTGCAGGGATTTAAAAGCCCTGTGCATGTGGCACTTGGGGACATGGGTAAGTGGTGCTGCATCAGGGAGGGTGCAGTTTGGATATTGGGAATAATTCCAGGCTGTCCAGCCCTGGCACAGCTCTGCAGAGCAGGGCTGGACTCCCCATGCTTCCTGTGCCTGCAGGGATTTAAAAGCCCTGTGCATGTGGCACTTGGGGACATGGGTTAGTGATAGTCTCAGCACTGCTGGGGAATGTTTGGACTCCATAGTCTCAAAGGGCTTTTCCACCCTAAATAATTCCATTACTCTGCTGCTGTCTCTTGACACTGCTGCTGGAGTTTACCAAGGGCTCTTAGACCCAAGGTGGTGCTTCTTTCCCTCCTTGAGCCATGTTCAGACTGAGGGAGCAGCCCCAAGGGACTTCTTACAAGTCCTGCAGGGACAGGACAATGGGGAATGGCTTCCCATGGTTGGACAGGAGATTGGGAATTAGGAATTGTTCCCTGGCAGGGCAGGGAGGCCCAGAGCAGCTGTGGCTGCCTCTGGATCCCTGGCAGTGCCCAAGGCCAAGCTGGACAGGGCTTGGAGCAGCCTGGGACAGTGGGAGGTGGTGAGACTTGGCAGGGGTGGCACTGGATGGGCTTTGAGGCCCCATCCCACCAAAACCATCCATGATTCCATGGATTATCCGTGTCCCAGCTTGTCCCCAGCCCTCGAGTGCCTCTGCCCAGCTCGGGTGAACAGGGAGCAGAGTTCCTGAGGGGGGTCTCTTGTGCAGAAGGATGAATGGGACAAAGCCATTGCTTCTGGGTGCTGGGACCCTTCCAGGCGCCTTGGTGCTGCTTCTTCCCCATCCTGCTGTGTCCCCATCCCTGCTGTGTCCTCGTCCCTGTGTCCCCGTCCCAGCAGTGTCCCCGTCCCAGCAGTGTCCCCATCCCAGCGGTGTCCCCATCCCAGCGGTGTCCCCGTCCCAGCAGTGTCCCCATCCCAGCGGTGTCCCCATCCCAGCGGTGTCCCCGTCCCAGCAGTGTCCCCGTCCCAGCAGTGTCCCCGTCCCAGCGGTGTCCCCGTCCCAGCAGTGTCCCCATCCCAGCGGTGTCCCTGTCCCAGCGGTGTCCCTGTCACAGCAGTGTCCCCATCCCCTCCGTGTCCCTGTCCCCTCCGTGTCCCTGTCCCCGCCATGTCCCCGTCCCCACCATGTCCCTATCCCCACCGTGTCCCCATCCCAGCAGTATCCCTGTCCCCACCGTGTCTCTGTCACAGCTGTGTCCTCATCCCCACCATGTCCCTGTCCCCATGTCTCTGTCCCAGCTGTGTTCCCGTCCCCGCCATGTCCCCATCCCAGCGGTGTCTCCGTCCCCACCGTGTCCCTGTCACTTCTGTGTCCCCGTCCCAGCAGTATCCCTGTCCCCGCCGTGTCCCTGTCCCCACCATGTCCCCGTCCCCACCGTGTCCCCATCCCCGCCATGTCCCCATCCCCGCCGTGTCCGTGTCCCCGTCCCAGCAGTCCCCATCTCCACCATGTCCCTGTCCCTGTGTCTCTGTCCCCACCGTATCCCTGTCCCAGTGGTGTCTCCATCCCAGCCATGTCCCTGTCCCCGCCGTGTCCCCGTCCCCACCATGTCCCTGTCCCCACCGTGTCCCCGTCCCAGCAGTGTCCCCATCCGCACCGTGTCCCCATCCCCACCGTGTCCCCGTCCCAGCAGTGTCCCCATCCCCACCGTGTCCCTGTCCCCGCAGGTCCCTTCAGGTTCGCGGACTCGTACGGCGCCCGGCAGCTCGTGGACAAACTGCGCAAGTACGAGGCCGTGTACGGCAGCCAGTTCACACCGTGCCAGCTCCTGCTGGACCACGCCAACAGCCCCAGCAAGAAATTCCACCAGTGAGGCGGCCCGGTGACACCCTGACAGCTCCTCCAGCCTCCCTGCAGCACCCCATTCTCCTTAGGTTAATCTCCAAAGCCCCCGGGGGAGGAAGGGAAGGAAGGGAAGAAGGAAGGAGGGGGGCAGCAGGTTGCCTCATGGCTTGTAGTCATTTCAAGTGCCTTACCAGCCACTGTGTGTCGGGTACGTCCGTCCCGTGCCAGCCTGGGCCTGGGGGCTCCGTGCTGGGGGAGGGAATTCCTGCTGCCTTTGCCTCCAGAGCCGTGGCCTCCAGAGCTCCCAGTCTGGCCAGTAGCATCCAGCTTGTGGCTGGAGCCGAGGCCTTGCCTTTCCATCAAACATCCACCAAAATAAAGCCCCATCTCCTGGGTTTGGACTCCTGCTTCTCCTCCCATCTCCCTGGGGGAACAGCTTGAGTGGGGATTGACTGGTCCAGGCAGTGCCCTGGGGTCCTGTCTGTGGTGGGTCTCATGGAGGGGCACGATGGCAGCAGTGCAGGACACAGCAGTGTCACCTCTGCCATCACTCGGGG